ATAAAGGCTCTTTAAAAGTATGTATATATAAATGGTACATATGCATCCTCATCATGGACAGTTTAAACAATGGAAAACTAAATGTCATTTCAACTCTAATATGTCTTTATGGTATTTAGGAACTTAAAAAAATATGTTATGTGAGTTCAATGAATTATTTCACATATGAACAGATCTTGTTAATATTTCTGACCACCTAGGGGACTCAGTCTATGCCATAGGTTGACAAATTATTTTTATAATAAAAATAGGAGGAATTTGGGTTTATAAATTAAATGGTGGCCACAAGTGTATCCTGAAGGGCCCTGAGGTATGGTCACCTCTACTTGGCTCTACCACTAACCCAGGGAGTGACAAGGCAGACCTTTCTTTTCTTTGAGAACTTATTGCTCTATCTTCCAGACACTCATAGAGACCCTATAGTCCTGCCAACTGCAAGAATACAAGACTGAATGATTATTTGCCAAATACCTGCAGCTGAAGAACTCAGCAGCACAGTTAGATATATATTAAGATAATTATGTTGAATCATTAGAAATTTAATTCTAAGACGCAAAGTCTCCTGTTATCACAAATTCAGAAATAACCAGGTGGTCTAATAAAATCCCACATCAGAGGAGTCTTATAACAGGATTCCTCTGTCTGAGCAGAGAGGTTGGCAGCCATCCATGTATTTCCCATCTGTCTTCTTCTTATCCTCCCACAACTCCCCACCCTTGGCTTCTCTTAGCACTGTTTCCCATTCTTAAACTTTTCTTCCACTTTTATCTCCTCCTGCTTCTATTTTTCTTGAGAGTAGACCACATGATTAAAGTGCCATTCTCTCTCACTGTAACACTTTCCAATGAAACACTGGAAATAGTCAAGGAAGAAGGAATGTGAGAGAACATTGTGTGAATTTCAGGATGAACAGAAAGGAGGTAAATAGGTCTGCCCCTGTCATGCTGACTCACGTGACTCTTCTAGCATTTACTGGAATGACCTTCAATTCAAATGAGAACCACAAAATACCAGTAATTTTATCTGGGGAATATTTATATTTTGGTGTAGTAGGTGAATTCCCAATTAAAGGGCATTATTAGAAGCATTTTTTCCCCCAAATGTAGTTTCATATTGGTTAGGCCTTGCATTTTTAATTGGTTGCTTTGGTTCAAAGAGAAGATTTTGTTTTTGCTTTTAAAATCCACTCATTCTCCATTCCTTGTAACTAACTCCCATGTTAAAGAAGATGTGCTGAGCCCTAGATTTCTCTAACACAGACCAACCCAATATTTTCCTTCTCCAATGATTTCTTCCCAATGTAGAGCCTACTGGGCTTGGTGATTGAGTGTACATGGAAGAAAGTCAGGAATTTAGAACATTCCCTGACAATGGCAATAAAAATGTCTGATTATTCTGAGGCCTCTCCCTCCCCACCCCCACATTAGTGCAAAGGGTAAACTGCTACTAATGTCACAAAGGGTGAAGGGTACAGGGTGACTACCCACTTTTGATTTATGTTTCACATTCTCAATCCAGGGGTCTTTCTACTTCTCACTGCCCATTGGACTTTCTGGGCATCTGTTTTATGAGTGGCTTACAGAAACTTGTCGCACTTTAAGGATGGCTCCTTAGCATTAGTGAAGCCAGAAACTTGGGCTTACCCTAAATTTGAGGGTCCTTTCAAAGAATGATGCCCTTAGGAACTGAGGAGGGTAAGCAGCAGCACATACAAAGTGTGTAAATTTAGGTCTTCCCATAATGACTACCTGAGAATTTGTGAGTGCGCTCATGATCTAATTAGGGCTATCCCCCTAAAGTCATCTGCAATCTAAAAAAAAAAAAATGTAAGATAAAATTACACATTTTAAAGTTCCATATGGAACTTAGCTCTTCCCAGAGCAGTTTACTGAGCATTTATCCTATGTGCCAGGCACCATGCTGAGGACAGCAGTGAATAAAACAGACCCTGTCCCCATGGTCTAGCAGGAATTGCAAAAGCCAGTGTTGAGCCAGCACTGTCCCATGTCTGAGACTTTGGGTTTGACCAATAGGGCCTCCTGTGCCTCGAAGGTGCCCTTTAATATTACAGTAGGGGCAATTCTTCCACTTCCCATAAAATAGCCCACAAGACCAGACCACCCCATCCCTTTGTCCCCACTCACCAAAGCTACCTGTTATTGATGAAGGCCAGATATATCTCCATAAGAAAGAGAACCACAGAGAAGGGATGAGAGGTATTCTTTACCTAGAAGGTTGATCTCCACACTGAATGGAGAAACTCATGCTGACCTTACACACTGAGTGTGGTTCTCTTTGAGTGTGGTGCACATTCACTGCTGTGATAAGACCAACTCCGGGGAAACGGGAAAAGCCTTGGTTTTGAACTTGCAAAGCCAAGATGTCAGTTCATGGTGAAAAGAGCTTCAGCTTGGGAAACAGATGATATGAGTCATCACTGATGTTTCTCCCCCTCTTTCTCTCTCATCTTTGAAATCAATAAAAAATATTTAAAAAAAAAGAAGGCAGAGGGAACGGACTAGCCCTCCTTGGCCTCCGTAAGGATTAGCAGTGTTCCTTAAAATCTTTATGCAGAAAGGAACTGCTGTTTTTAAAGTCCTGAGAAAATGTCCATGGATGAATCCCAGTGCCTTTTTAACCTCCTCAGTTAATAACTACTATTTTGGGTGTGTATATGCATAAGTCAGAAAATTTTTTACTATATTAAAATAAAAATGTACCTATGTAAAGTCTCAGGGTTTGGGGAACATAATTCTGCCTTTTATGTTAAAAAACACATACTTCTGCTCAACAATGTTTATTTGATTTAACTAGATCAATGGTGATAAAATAAAAATATAGACACTGAAAATCAGTATGCTTTTGAAAATGACATTATATTATAAATGTCACTCCTAATATATTAAGGTGAGTCTATTAGTAGACTATGTCATAACTAGAAACAAAAAATATTAAACAAAGGTAACAATAATGTGTATACACTAAAATATCTGCAGTTTCAAAATTAGCGATAATATTACTTTTCAATTAAGTATCTTTCCAGTATCAGATATAAAACATAATATAAAGATACTAGACATCATTAGCCATGCATTTTCAAATACCTTTGTAGCAATAAAATGCCCCCCCCCCAAAAAAAAAAAATTCAATAAGTTCTGGCCCGTATTCTGACATTCATATTGGAGAGCTTAATTTCCCGATCAAGCTCTGGATTATAAAGTAAGAACCAACTGATTCTTTTAACTGTCAGAATAAAACAGACAGAGCCATTGTGCTCTGCTGTGGTTTGCCATAGACACTTGTAACATGGAATTGTTGTCTCCGGTCTGAGCAGCCCATTGGCAAATAAGACCTTATCTCTAAAGAAGGTATAAAACAGACGGTGGCCAAAATGAAATTCCAGCGAAAGGAGCTGCCATTTCTCCTCCATTTCAAGAGGACACATTAGCCTAGTTTAAAAGCCAATTATTCCTATTGATGCAACAAACTCTTGGGCCAGGCCACAACCTCCATAATTCTATGTGAGTTTAGGGCTCAGGACTTACTGAATTGCAAGCCAAGAAGCAATGCAGTCAACATGAAAAACCACCAGGAGCCCCTGCTCACTCCACTCTGTCCTGGTGCTTTGGACAGTGAAAGCACCACTCCCCTCACTTTGCCGCCCTTCCCACATGCCTCCCAGCCTCATAAAGCTCGCCATCTCATCCTCCTGCTAGGCTGATCACTTCCTACAAGTGCCTGGTGCTGCAGGCAGCGGTGGTAGAAGACCTAGCATTTAGCTAATACTTTTAGAAAAAAGCAGGAGGGTGGGACACAGGAGTGGGCCTCCTTGGACATGCCAGCTCTCCTTCTTAATTACTAAGCCCGAAACCCATGGGAAGTAGACAGTACAGGCTCTCTTCCCACTCACACAAACACAGAGACTAAGCATGCAGCCATTCCCAAGGCCCAGAGCCCTGAGTTAGTCCAGGACCCTATCCCAGCCCTGTCTCCAGTGACCCGAGGCCAGACCTTAGACTGGCTCTGAGCAAAAAACAACCAATCCTAGTAACACTTAAGTTAGGTAGAAATGGCTCTCAATGGAATTGTGGAATCAGCCACTTAGATCACTCCACCAGTGTCCATGTGAGGAGGATAGAAAAATGGCAAGGAGACAGGTGAAAGAGCATGGCCCCTGGTTAGACGGCCTGTCCTTAGACGCACATGATGCAGTCAACCAGGCCACAGTAACGGACTCAGCAGAGAAATGTCAGGGACTGCAGGAGTCACCAAAGGGTGTTTTTTACTCTGATACCTGTGTGAAGGGAGAAATGCAAGTGCAGTTTTATAGGCTCTCAGCCCTGGAATTTTCCACCTGATGTTTCAGGTGTTGGAAATGAATGCACACATGCTAAGATGACTTTGTAACACTGGGTTATATGCTTTTCTTAATCACACTGATCTCATTCCCTCCATACATCCCAGCAGCTCACCTGGCTCAGGCTGGATACTCAGAACATCTGAGATCTGAGTTAATCATTCAAGTCTCCTTTCCCATGTGGCCTTGAATATCCCCATCCTCAGCAGCAAAGATCCCCAGACAGAGAGAGACAGTGGTTCCCTTAGAGCAGTGGTCGGCAAACCGCAGCTCTGTTGACTAATGAGTTTGCCAACCACTGTCCTATAATATACTACCCTTTACCTCTTTGCACACAATATGCCACAACTGCCTAATCCTCACAGCTTCCAACTACACGGTAACATTTAGTTTAGTCCAATGGTTGGCCTGGAGCCCTAGGGTTCCCCTCCAGCAGGCCAGTGTTCTCCACCTTTGTGACCAGGTTTGCAAGGAGCTTGGGAAAGGGGGGGGGGGGGGCAGTGATATTTTGAACAGCCCTAGGACAAATGAGGGTCAGTATTAAGCAGGTATTACTCTTCATAAACTAGTACTGACACCTAGCCAAAACCCTTCATGGGGGAAAAGGTTCTTTTTTAAACAATAGCTTTCTGTATCGTTAAAGGAACATTGCCAAGGATGCAGAAGGAACTGAAGATGATCAAAGATGAGGATGTGCCTTTCAACCTGGGAGTGAAGAGGGCCTCCTCTTTCCCCCACTGCCTGCAGCCAGTGGGTTCCCGAGGGAAGGCTCCCCAAAGGCACCACCCCTTCCCAGATGCTCTCAGGGGCCCTTTCTCCCAGTTCCGGTACGAGCCTCCTCCCGGAGACCTGGATGGCTGCTACCCAGGGGTCTTTGAAGGAGGAGGGTCCCGGAAACGGAAGAGCGTGCCCACCAAGATGCCCTACGCCCACCCCTCGGAGGAAGCCCTCCACGCCGAGGACAGCAAACTGCGGGGCCACCCCAGCTTCCCCCTGCTATTCCCGCAGCCCCCGCGGGCCCCCAAATACGACTCGCAGATGATCGACCTGTGCAACGTGGGCTTCCAGTTCTACCGCGGCCTGGAGCAGCTGGGGGGCGGCAAGCGCGTCAAGCAGGAGCCGGTGAAGCCCAGCGCCATGTGGCCGCAGCCCGCGCCCGCGCCCGCGCCCTTCCTGCCCGCGCCCTACCCCTTCTACCCCAAGGTGCCCCCGGGGCTCATGCTCCCCTTCTTCGTGCCCGCGGCCGCCCCGTTCCCCTTCGGCCGGCACCCCTTCCTGCCCAAGCAGCCCCCCGACTCCCAGCTGCTGCCGCCCCCCCGTAAGGCGGAGCCCCCCGAGGGCGGCGAGGAGGCCAAGCAGAAGGTGGAGCGCATGGACGTGAACGTGCAGATCGACGACAGCTACTGCGTGGACGTGGGCGGCGCGCAGAAGCGCTGGCAGTGCCCGACCTGCGACAAGTCCTACACGTCCAAGTACAACCTGGTCACCCACATCCTGGGCCACAGCGGCATCAAGCCGCACGCGTGCGCCCGCTGCGGCAAGCTCTTCAAGCAGCTCAGCCACCTGCACACGCACATGCTCACGCACCAGGGCACGCGGCCGCACAAGTGCCAGGTGTGCCACAAGGCCTTCACGCAGACCAGCCACCTCAAGCGCCACATGATGCAGCACAGCGAGGTGAAGCCGCACAACTGCCGCGTGTGCGGCCGCGGCTTCGCCTACCCCAGCGAGCTCAAGGCGCACGAGGCCAAGCACGCCAGCGGGCGCGAGAACATCTGCGTGGAGTGCGGCCTCGACTTCCCCACGCTGGCTCAGCTCAAGCGCCACCTCACCGCACACCGCGGGCCCGTCCAGTACAACTGCTCCGAGTGCGACAAGACCTTCCAGTACCCGAGCCAGCTGCAGAACCACATGATGAAGCACAAGGACATCCGGCCCTACATCTGCTCCGAGTGTGGCATGGAGTTCGTGCAGCCGCACCACCTCAAGCAGCACTCGCTCACCCACAAGGTACGCGGGGCCCTGGCCTGGGGAGGGCCGGCTGCATGGACCCCAGCCTGGGTCCCCACCTGTGCCAGGAGGGGCTGTGCAACCCTGGGCAGCGGCTCCCCTCCCCTGAGCCCTGATGTCCTCCCTCCCCTGCCAGTGGGGAGAATGAGGAGACTAGCAATCAAGTGCTTTCCCAGCCAGCCCTCTAGGGTCTGAGATGGGCCTGGAAATAAATAATGGGGACTGTTCGGAGAAGAAGGCGGGAAGGAGGAAGGAAGCAGCAGGTCTTTGTGCTCTTGCTTCTTTGTTTCCTAGAATTTCTAAAATTCTGTTTCTGGAAACTTCATTCAGGGTGCCAGCAGGAGTGTGTCATCGGGCTTTATCTACGGGAGACCAGCACTGTGCCCGAGATACATTAATCAGAGCCTTTTTCTGGAGAACTCCCTTGGTTTCTTGCTGCTAAAGCAGTGGTTTCCTTTCCCCGAGTCTTCTCCCTCAACTGGGAGACCTGCTTCGTGTGCAGGTGGCTCTGGGGGAACAGAAGCTGCGTCCAGCAGGGTCTGTGCTGCCCTGGGGGAGCCCCTGCCTAGTTGACTGTGGTGCCATGTGGTTTGTATGGAGGAGGCAGAGAGAGCATCCTTCTCTGGTTAGAATTTATCTTCCCTGAGCTAGGGTCTTCAAGGAGAAATACAGGCCTACGGGTCTCCATTCAGCTGAGTTTGTAACCAAAGCCCTGAAGTCATTCAGGGTAAACTAAAACAAGGCCCCAGTGGTCTCCCAAAATCTTACCAGCTGAGCTGACTTGGGGCTGCTTTGAGCTTCTGAAAGGGAAGGTTTTCCTCACTGACCTTTACCCTCACACCTTTGACCTCAAGTGGTTTTCTTGGCAGGAGAGACTTCTAGCAAGCCAGAGATCCTAAAACATTCTTTAGTTCTTAAAGCCCATGGAGGACTTTTCCCAGTCAAGATGTCATTTATATTCTGCCATGATGGGTTTTATTTGATAGGTTAGGACATAGCACAGGGCATTTCTGGCTCTGCTGCAGAGATCAGCTGTGTGGCTGCCTGTTGAACTCTGTGCAAACAGCTCCTGACCCATGCAAGGCCCTGTAGATAGCATCCAGAGAAGAAGGGCCCACCCCCACCGAGTGCAGGGACCGTCGCCAAAGAAACTAGACTTCCGCCCAAAGGGATCATTCGCTGATTTATGGGGCTCCTACATGTGTGGATAAGAAATCAAGGACGCATTTTGAAGCATAAACATTCTGTAAGAGTAGAAACTGAAATCAAAGTGGGAAAACAGCCTGGTATCTAAAATAAGTCTCATTTAAATTAGGAAACAATGCATTTTAATGAAGGATGTCAGCAAACAGCGAGAGGTGGTATCTATTGAATGTTTCTATGTGGCAGCTGCTTTACTTTGCATGTAATCCGCTTCAATGATGCTAAGAGCTACTTGTGGGTTTCAATACTTCACAATTGCAAATGAGATGCTGAGGCAGGGAGAGGTCACCAGAATCTCTGACTCCGGTACCTGAGCTGTGAACCCTATTGCCAAAACTTTCCTTTCTTCACCCACTTCCCTCCCTTCCCCTAACAACTCCACAAACGCCCCCTCTGTGATTCTACTGATCCTTTTAGAGACACAGTGGCTTCCTGTGTTCCCCAAAGTTGTGTCCAGGCTCCCTTCACTTGGGTTCTAGGCCGCCCCACATGTGAGTTTTACTTTGGACACAGATTTCTCTTTAGAAAATTCCGAAACAGTGATAAGTAGGTACTTCTTGGTCCCAGGATGACTGGCTTATAGCCAGTATAAGAGACAATCTTGAGGAGAAAGATCCTAAGTAAATTTTACAAGCCATCAAGAAAATAGTTTTCATTCATTTCATAATTTTAAACTCACTGTTTGAGTATGCAACACATATTTTAAATTGAGACATCTTCATTAGCATCAGTCCATACACCTCTGCAATAATTAGACTAAAGAGCATTCCAGCTTCTCGTGGCTTACCTCTTCACCTTGAGATGAAGAAGCCTTCACCAGGAAAGGCCACAAGACTTGCCTTAGGTTATTCAGCCAGTAAGTGGCTGGGCAGAGATCTGAACTCACCCTTTAGTGCCATGGGCTCATCAAAACTGAGGGATAGTACTTTCTTACCATGCCCCAAATGAAAGAACTGAAAATGCAGACAGAGAGAGGCAGAGCTAAGCATAGAACCCCTCCCTCTATAAGTCACTATGGATACCAGCCAATATGGTATTTATAAAGTACAATTGTTAGGTAGGCAACTTGGTCTAAATCTATATTAGCCTTCATTTTAATGCTATAGTTCTCTAAGTTTTCCTTCCCAAAAAGTCATCCTGGATCAAGATTCCTTGAAAAGGCCTTTTCAGGGAAGCACTGGTTAGTCAGGATCAGCTAATATTCTATTCATGCTGAGTCCTTAGAAATCCTTTCAACTAAGGGCATTGATGCTTAAGTTATTCAAACACTTCTCCACAAACAGCAAGGAAACTAGAACATCTCCTTTTCTAATTCAGAAAGCTATAATCTCTATAGGACAGAAGCTGGCTTAGAGGAGGTTCTATACCCAAATCAAACAGAGGTCACTGTGGCCTATAGAAACTCAGAGGATCATCTCAAGAGGTGATTATCACGTTGTACTTTATGGAAGTGTGGATATAAGTTGTTCTGGGATTTTCAAGTCCATTAATAAGAACTCAAGATATGGGAAATGATATTATCAGTTTGGGTTTTTTTTCCTCATTATCATGAAAGCGGGATTATAGATTCATTTTGAATATCATTCCACAGTGCTCTTACCAAAATCCCACTAATCCCCGAGAACTGTTACTAATCCCTGCAGCAGCAGGAACAACAAAAGTATTAGCTTTCCTTTTCTCTAACTTTATGTAGTTTATGGTTTTTGGAGAGAAAAAAAAAAGATTACATAATGAACATTTTTTTCAGGAAAATAGCAATTTAACAAGGCAAAGCTACACCATTTGGAACTCACTATCAATCAGCAAGCTCATCATGGGTTTATGCACCAGAAAGGAAAACAAAGACTTCAACCAGATGAAAGCAGGTTACCTGCTAACCACAGTTGTTTTGACTCTTGCCTCCCTGCAGGGTGTGAAGGAGCACAAGTGTGGGATTTGCGGGCGGGAGTTCACTCTGTTGGCCAACATGAAGAGACACGTGCTGATCCACACCAACATCCGCGCCTACCAGTGTCACCTCTGCTACAAGAGTTTTGTGCAGAAACAGACCCTCAAGGCACACATGATCGTCCACTCTGACGTGAAGCCTTTCAAATGCAAGGTGGGCAGGGGGCCCTGGGAGAGTTCAGAAAGGGGGGACTCTGAGGGTTGTGCAAACGCCCAAAGGGGAAGAGTCTCCAGGGAACCTTCCACTCCATTTAATCAAGGCCACTGAAGCTCAGAGTAGGCCCATTGCCAACCTCAGGCTCATCTGCTACTCTTTCTCTCTTTCCACCACACCTTTGCTCACACCAACCCTCAGCTGGGCTCTGCTCATCTCACTGTGGAATCAGTTCCTGGGAGTAGAGGCACCAGTAGGGGAAGGTCTGAGGGTGGAAGGACCACTTGGGGAATGAGGTGGTTCAGGGATGAAGGGATGTGGAGAGCTCCTGTTCTAGAAAAGAGCTATCTTCTTCCCTGTGCAAGCCAATGAGTAGAATACAGAAAGGAGTCAGAGAAGCTTCTAGCACTGCCCCCACTCCCATCTGACCCCTCCCCTCCTGCCCTCCTGATACTTGCGCTGAGTGACATAACTTGAATGCAGGTCTTCCAGGGATGATGAAGATATTCTGAGGCTAGCCCTCAGATGGCCTCAAAAATGCTCGGTTGGGCTGAGGAATGACTGTGAGCACAGTCATCTGGAGCATTTCTGACTTATTCCTAAGGACCATGGAGTACCTTTGTTAAAGTCTCCGTGTCACATTAACTTGCTTGGATTTTTATTTCGTCAGCTGAGATAATGCGTGAGCTGAAGATCTGTAAAACCCAAAGCACTGAGTGGGATCACTCAGAAATGCTTGGGCTTCCCAGGCTGTCCCCTCCCAAAGGAGTCTTGCTCACGATTGGGTAGTTCCATCCAAGGAATGTACCGGCAAGTATCACTGAATGCACATCTTCAGGGGGGAGCTGAGGGGAAGAAGAGGGAAACCACCATGTTCAGCTAACACTAAGCCCTTCTGTTGGAAACGGAGGTTTCCCTTCTCTCTGTTACTGCATGTCTGACGGGGTCCAAATGATAGTCTCAGTGGATCCCTATTTCTGAAATAGGGTGTCCCGCTTCCAGGGGCTGTTCCTGCATTCAGGCCCCTGCAGCATGTCTCCTCACTTGAAGGAACCCCCTGTGAAGCCAACTTCTTTCCTGTGCTGGCCACTCCTGGACAGGGTGAGAGGGGTCAGGAACCAGAGCTTCCCTAGACCTGTGTGGGCATTCTCCGGAGGTGGGGGAAGGAGATTTCTCCCTCCAGCCCTTTTCCTGCCACCCACTTGTGTTTCCCCTCCTTTCCTTCAAGTTCTAGTTAGTTTGAAAGTCAATTTATGTCCATCTTGAGTCATCTGAGTGGAATAGGGAGGAAGCTGTATGTAGGACCTGGTGCAAAAGGAAAATGTGAGGCCCTTTGTTCAAATGTTAGGAAGGATTTAAGACAGTAAAAACAGAGTAAAAACAGAGCATCATGCATAACTCGGGACCCTTCTGAGTTTGGGGTCCTGTGTGACAGCCTTGCTGCGTGAGCCAATGGACGCCACCGACCAAGTCCTCTCTCTCTAGGCACTTCTTTGATTTCCTACCCACTTCACTAAGCCCTTTGACCCCTGCACTTTTAATAGAGCTGTTGCTGCCTGCCAGGGTTTCCTGTCTCCCACAATGGAGGTGCAAACAAGAGCTCTTTTCTACTCTTCATTCCTGTGTTGAATTTACTCTTGGACTTCAAGCACATTCTTTATTTTTTATCTTATCAACTGCTGGTACATAAAGTTGTTAAAATATGAAGGGAACCATTGCATAGTTCCCTAAAATTTCACACCTGTCCAGTCCAACCAACTCCCACCTCTACCTCATCAATTCAGGTCCAGCAGTAGTGGTTAAATCAGGAAGAAAACGTCTCTGAAATGGAAGGATATGTGAGGGGGCAGAACCAATACAGGACAAGGGCTTGTAGCATAAAATGGCAGCTCTGAAAGGATGGGGCTATGTGTGATTTGGGGCCACAGAGACAGTGCTATTTCTTTATATCGAGGGCATCAGAGGAGCCTGAGTGATTTCATGGCCCTGGTGGTATATGAGGATTTAGAGCAGTGTTTTTCAACCTTTTTTGGGCAAAGGCACACTTGTTTCATGAAAAAAATCACGAGGCACACCACCATTAGAAAATGTTAAAAAATTTAACTCTGTGCCTATATTGACTATATATAAAGTAATTCTCTTGAATAGGAATCAAATAAACACAAAGAAAGTATTTTATAATTACTTTATTATGAAATATTAAGTAAACAAAATAGTGAAAAATTATAAAATTCTTGTCTTGTCTGCACCTACGGCACACCAGGCAACATCTCGCGGCACACTAGTGTGCCGCGGAACAGCGGTTGAAAAACGCTGATTTAGAGGGTTCTCTCTGGTACCGGTTCATAGAAACTGTACAATGCAAGTATAACAAGGGCCCAGTGATGCAGTGAGCTAGCCTGGCTTGATGTTTCAGGCCTCCCCTCATAAACAACTGCCCCCTCTTCCCCAGTGATAGTGCACCGTACATGGGTGTCTGATGGCTAACTTTATGGTTCAGAAACTCAACTCGGCTTCTCCTTGGGTGTGCAGTAGGCTCTGGATATCTGGTCACACCTTGAGAGAGGGACTTGTAGCATAAAATGCCAGCTCTGAAAGGATGCACACCCAAGGGGAGATGGGCCTGGAGCCGGAACTGAACTGGTATCTTCAGGGTCACTTCTTCCTGGGGCCTAGGTTCTCTCAGCAGCTGTAGGTCAGGAGGCCGCCTAGGAGAGTGATTATACTAGTATCATTAGTACAAAAATAATTGGATGTGAAAGGGGAATTAAAAAAAAAAATCAAATGCAGGTGGCCCTTCTCCATTCTTAGACATTTCTAAAACAAGAATAGGTGTCAGTCGCCTTGAATATGAGCTCTCTGTCTCCTGGAAAGTGCCAGAAACATACTGCAGGTTTTCCCTCTATTTGTTCCCATCTCCCTGCAGAGTGCCACCCTGGTCACCCTTTCTACTATCACCCTCCTCACTTCAAAGGCATTTCAGAGCATGTCTGAGTTCACAGGCTATTGTAATGGGCCTCTGTGTGTTGGAAAGCTAGCTACAGGTGCCATGGTGAAACGGGTCACCTTGAGAGGGTGTCCTGTGGACTTTGATTCCCATCCATGTTGTGCTGGATTCTTGGAATTCTGATCCTGGGTGGAGCTTGTTGGGGATTTGAGAGTTGGGAAAGGAATGGAGGGCCATTTGCTCATTGTTGTGTAATCCATAGCCTTTAGGGAGGAGTGGCTAGCAGGCTACATAGGAGAACAGGGCCAGACAACTAAACCAAGGCTTTATCATGGTGACAGGGCAGGCATTTCCCTCACAGGATTGGCATGGCTGGGGTGGGGGAGGTGGGGGAGGAGAAGGGCAGACCTTGCTCCTGCCGTACTCTGAGAAGTAGCTCTGTCTCTTTTACCCCAACCTTGCAAGAAGAAAAAAAAAAGAAGGAAAAAAAAAAAGGAGATTCTTTAGGTAATAGATTCCAATTTCTTGGGACTTTTGCCACTAAAAAATCCTTCCTAAAATAAACCCCTCCTCCTGTTGCAATATGAACTGGTTCTCTCCAGTCCGTGCTCAGTGGAAACAGCTGTCCTCAGCAAGCAGCAAAGTTCGCTCACGGTGGGATTAAGCTTTAACAATAGAATGGAAAATTAGAGGAGAAGAAAGGTTTCCATTCTGTTTCTTTTTCTTTCCTTATAAAAAAGAAATTACTGCCCTTCTGGGCTCTTTTGCTATTGGCTTGGCTCCTGGACTCCTAGCTCTCGGAGCCAGCTGGAGCCTGTCCAGAGACCTGCGCCTGTGCACTTAAGCTTGTTTCAGAAAGATGCTTCCCAGATTCTGCGTAAGCATGCGGGGGTCGACTTGGATGCTATCCTTGTAGCAGCCACACTCCATAAAAGCAGAGAACCAGCTGCCGTCTTTGGGAAACCTGTCCAGGAAAAGCAGCCATCCAGAATTTCCGGGACACATTCTCCTTTGAGATGGGTGAAGCCGGGAGCTGCCTAAGTTATGAATCACCAGGTCATCTGCAGCCCGGTCTGAAGCAGAGCCCTGAAGGCCAAGGGCAGAGCTGATAGAAGAGGATGAGGTCTCCTTGAAAAGGGTCCCCACCGCCTCTGCCAAGCAGGCCCCATCTTCCCTTCCGGCTCTTGGATGCCTCATGGGGGAGAAACCAGGTGGGGACTTTCAGGGGCTCCGTACTTGGAACCGAGGTTCTCAGGCTGGCATTGAGGGGGTTAAGGCAGTGACCAGATAGCAGCCTTTTGGCAGCAAAGCCCTCCTCAGCAGAAGGAAGGATATAGCTGTATGAACTGCCTGCTTAACAATGCCTCACATGTCCCCAGGGGCCCGCCTGCAAATAGATTTCATCTTGCTTTCTCTTGTACTTTTCAAAGCTTCCTGTTTTCTCACGGCCCTTTTGGACAGTTTACAGTCTCTCTCTCCCTCCCTCCCTCTCTCTCCCTTTGAGGAAAGGAACACCCTTCTTATTAAAAGAGAGAGAGAGAGAGAGAAGAAGAATGTAAGGGAAGGGCAGTTTTAGCAGAAGCCATTCTCCTGGGCTGCAGGCTGCAGCTCTTTGACCTTTTCTCCCAGAATAGGAAAACACAGGCTTCCTGGCGCATCTTGGTCCTCAGGCTCACACAGGCCGGTTGGCACAAAGCAAAGTGGCTCTTCTTGGCTTCGTGGGCCTCTGGCCGCAGCCCAGCCGCTGCCCGCTGCACACAGCCGCCTGGGCTTCTCTGGCTGGCAGCATCATCGCTGGGACTCATGGGAAGTTGCCTGAGGCATCTCCAGGCCCTGGATCAGGGAGGGAAGAGGCACCAGGGAACTGGAATTGGGAACTCCCATGAAGATAGGAACAGGGTGCCTGTCAGCTGTTCAGCAGGCTGAGGATCAGGCAGCCAGAGACTGGGTTCTTCCAAAACCTACAATCTAAGAGCAATCTTCTTTTTCCACCCACATTTCCCAGTGCCGGGTCAGGCACAACTGCCTCCATTTTATTATGCTTAGAGTAACCTGGCAGGTATTTATACAAAGGATCCTTCACTTCCTTCAGTATTCCCTGCAAATAATTTAGTTTAAAAAGACAGCACTCCATTTCAAAGATCTATTTCTGGAATGTAAGAGCATAGTCCATAATAATGATAGTAATAAAAACTCATATTTATTGAGCTCTATTTGCCAGACCCTTTACATGAATGGTCTCATTTGATCTTTATAACAATCATTATAAGAAACTATAATTATCATCAACATTTGAGGGAAGAGGAAAGGGGGAGCTCGTTCTCTGTCCTTCTGAGGTCTCTCTATCACCTCTCTGCTCTGCCCTCTCAAACTCTAATGCAATCTGCTACTAAAGGACAGTTCAAACACTTGTTCCAATTTCCTATTAAATGTTGAGGCCCACCTACTTCTTGACAAGTAGGTATAAATGTGGCCATCAATGGGAAAGCTGAGGCTTCATATCAGGCTCACTAATATCCCTCCTTAGAGAACTGAGAGTTTAAGAGGGGTGGGCGGTTGAGATAACTGCCTGCAAGAGGAATGCTGTCCTCTCCACTCCAGCAGTTCCTCCACGAATGCCTGCCAGTATCTTAATCTTCGCAGACCTGTTTTTGAGTCTTCTGCTGCAGCATCATGCCAAATAAATAGGAACCAAATTAAGTATATTTTTTCTAAAATGACCATGACTTGAATATCTAATGCAGAATCTTTAGATTCAAAGCTTTTTTTTTTTTTCTGTAGCCAGAACAGAGAACTGCATAAACTAAACTAATAAAAAGATAACAAAAGGTTCCCAGAACATGCGCACATGTGCAAAACTTAGCCACAGGTTGATAACATCTTAATACATAGTCTCTGTTGAAAATAAAAGAAAGCAAATATCCATCCCACATGTAGGGCTTCCAAAGATGTTGAAATTAGACCAACTCTCTCAGCCTTTCCTTCTTGGGTTACCTTTTCTAAATGAATGTGGTATGCACATGCTCTGAGTACTGAGTGTGGGAATTCATCTTTGCTGGTAAGGAAGTAAAAAGGGAAAAAAGTACTTAAAACTCCCAAATATGAATCACTTAAAAATACAGAACCAACCATTCATTATCCATGTGTGGGTTATCTGTGATAAATGTAATACCCCAGGCTGGCTTCTACCATCCAGCATTCTTTTGAGCTAATCTCTCAAGGTCACCATTTGTTAGGTCTGTCCATTCTGCCAAGGCTAGCTCAACTCTCACCTCCATAGCCACATGAGGAAAACGTTGCCTTCATTACCAAAAATTCAACCCAGAATCCCCAACCATGGCCCTGAACATACCTCTCAGGAAGAGAGGAAAACTGATGTCAGCTTTAGAGGACGGGGTTACTCCTAGTTCTCTCTCCATGGCATCTCTCACTCCGTGCTGGCTTCTGAGGTTGGCGTGGGATGGGGAGTGTTCCTCCCTTGACACTGTATCCAAGCACAGCCAAGGAAGGGCTGGAGTCTCCAAGCCCTGCCTTGCTGAGGCTTAGGGGCAACAAGACCAAGCAAAGCACACTCTCCCCATCTGCAAACAGTGCCTTGGAAAAGACAGTGTCTCTTCTGAAAGCAGTTGTAGAACCACTGTCATGGTCCATCATGCATTTGCACTTTAATGGAAATAAAGAGAAATGACAAAGAAAAAAAAAATAAAATAAAACATGTTTACTTCTTGTATACCTGAGATAATATTTTCAGTACTTGAAATCTCTACCCAGAGAAAAGATACTCCTTCCTTTACATGTCTCCATTTTCATTCCAATAATTAGCAAATTTAAAAATTAGAAAAGTGTGGTGTGGTGGCTGACCATGTGGCCTCTGGTGTCCAATGACCTGAGTTCATTATCCCAACTCCAGCACCCACTAGGTGTGTGCTTTGGCCCATCTTAATCCCTCAGTTTGTCCATCTGTACTGACAACAGTACGCAGCCTACCGGGACTGATGTGAAAATTAAGTGTGATGTTCCATGGCAGGCTTAGGATAGTGCCTTCCATATTGCCAATGCTCCATAAATATTAAGTAAGTAACTGTATCATTATTATTCAAGTGAAGCACACTTTGAGCAATTGCTTTTCGGATCAGCTTTTCCCCTTTTCAAACGGTTCAAAAGAAGCTCTAATAGCTTTGTGATTTTTACTTGGAGTTTTAAACCCTCTACCACAATCTCAAGAGTCCATCCCTACCTGCTGCTCGTCTGAGCCTGGCCACAGTCCACCCCCTCCTTGACTTCCATGGAGACGTTTTCTGTGGAAGCTACTCGAAATGCCCAGATCCAAGCAAAGGGCCTCACACGGGCCTGGCTGTGGGTTCACCTGGGCGGGGTCCTCTGCCTGCAAGTGACTGTGTTCTCCTCGTCTCCGTCTCTGACAGCTGTGCGGGAAGGAATTCAACCGGATGCACAACCTGATGGGCCACATGCATCTGCACTCTGACAGCAAACCCTTCAAGTGCCTCTACTGCCCCAGCAAATTCACTCTGAAGGGGAACCTGACGCGCCACATGAAAGTCAAGCATGGCGTCATGGAGCGGGGCCTCCATTCTCAAGGTATTAATCTCCCAAGAAGCCCCCGTGCCTGCGGGGCCAGTGGGTAACTTTGTTTACAGGGGGCTTCGCTTTATCCTTATGGTCGAAAAAGGGAGTGCAACTTTAAAGACGAGACAGGCCTGCAGGGTAGCAGGAGCAAGCTGACAGTGTTATGGTAATAAATAAAATGCTAAGATTTGAAGGTGGTAAGTACAAATGAAGTCTAGGAAGTCAATTGGAACATTATAATGATGCTAGCCTCAGGCTGGAGGGACTTCTGTTAGTCCCATTTTATAGATGGGGAAACTGAGGCTTCCCAACATTCGTTTGCCAGAAGTTGGTCAATTGAAAAGTGGCAGAGTCAGGATTTGAACACGGACCTTTCTGACTCTAGAGCCTGTCGTGTATACACTTCACCACACAGCTGTTCAAGGGCATGTGGTTTTTTCCCCTTTTGGAAAAACAGGTTTGCAAGCTCTGATGTCAGCAAAGGTATGTCTGCAGGCCTCCTCTGACCTGTCCAGGACCAGACAGGCTCAAGGGCAGTTTTCCTGCTCAGTGGGGGCTATGTCTCCCTCTGTGAGACCTGACTGAAGGGATGGAAAGTTCTCGCCTTGTTTGTCAGTTCCAGGGCCCCCAGAGTTCATGTTCCAGATCTGCTGAACTTGGCAGGTTGCTCCTTTGTCACTAATCAGGCAGTCTATCCATAGGCAGTAAGTGCAGTCCGTCCTAGGCGTGTGCCCTGAGCCGGGCAGCAGTGAGGGACGGAGACCAGCTTTGTCCTCTGGGAGGTCTGCATGTAGCGAAAGGAGACATACAGAGAGGTAACTTAAATCGTACTAGCTGCCGGGACCGGTTTGGCTCAATGGATAGAGCGTCGGCTTGGGGACTGAAAGGTCCTGGGTTCGATTCCGGTCAAGGGCATGTACCTTGGTTGCAGGCACATCCCCAGTAGGGGGTGTGCAAGAGGCAGCTAATCAATGACTCTCTCTCATCGATGTTTCTAACTCTCTATCTCTCTCCCTTCCTCTCTGTACAAAATCAATAAAATAAAAAATAAAAATAAAAAAATGCCACTGGGATGCATAATTAAAAAAAAAATTGTACTAGCTGTCCGCTCTCTTCTGGTCACTGGTATAACCAAAGCACAGGCAGAGACACATTAGAGTAGGGGTGTCGAACTCAATCAGAGAAGGGGCCAAAATCTAAAATCCAGCCTAAATCGCGGGCCGAATGGTTTACTGAACAGTCATAAACTGTCATTGTGATGGAAACACAGCGGAGTGCAGTGATGACAGCGCGGTGCGGGCCACATTGCAAGGCCTGGCAGGACGGATTTGGCCCGCGAGCCTTGTGTTTGACACATGTGCATTAGAGCTCATTCCCACAATTCCACCAAGTAGACTGTGTTGTTCTCCTTTTATACAAGAGGAGATATAAACTGCTCAAGGTCAAACAGCAAGTTTAAAAGGCAGAACTGGAATTCCAATTCAAGAATTTCTGAGTCAAGCCAGTGCTTACCACACTAGATAAAAACACAGGTGATTCATTTGTGTTTGCTCTTTCTCCCACCCTTTCCAAAGGAGATGGTCAGATAGGCACACACGTTCATAAGTGAGCAGCACACAACGGAATGATTGTGGTTTTCAGATTTTTACAATGTCACCCTGACTTCTTCGACAGGGAACTGTGGTCATAAAGCAAGGCCTAGAATTGGTGCAAAAGCCCTGAAAATTTCTGGTAAAAAAACGAAAGCAATTTTCCCACCCTGACGATGTTTTTCACCTGAACTCTTCTTCACATCTCTAGTTGTCTGAGTGGCTTCCCAATTTAGGCCTGGATTTTTCCAGAACAGCTGAAATGTGATCAGTCTCCAGGGCTGGAGACACAGAAGGCCATGATGAGACAGGCCTGCACTGACAGCCTAACCTGCTCACCACAATTCACCCCGTATGGACACTCAAAGCCTAGCAGGCACCTGACATCTCTGTCATCCTGGAGAAATAAAGAACACCACTATATATCACAGAACTGCTTTGAAAATTTTTGACAGACTTGCAACTATTTTAATGTTTTCATCTACAAAAGGTGTCACTCATTTTTCAGTCCGATTTTTGAAATGGCTTAAAAACCAAGGCCCAGATCAAAAAGAACCTCCCTGTGCCCCGCACAAGATGAAAGCTATAGACTTCTGTGCCTGTGGGCATCTTGAGGATGGCAGCGCTGGACGTCAGCTTGCTTTGTGTGCCCCCACCCAGAAGCCTGGTCCTCCTGCGGCGCAGCAGGCTCTGGCTGAAGCCCAGACCCATCCCTCCTACTTCCCCTGGCCAGTCGCGGTCTCCTTCCCCCATTGCACCCGCCTCCGTTCCTTAGGGCCTTACGGCCAAGATCAAGTCAGGTGGAGCCCTTCCATGGGCCTGCTGGCTCCTGAAAAGTGGGTGTCTAGAGTCCTCAAGCAAAACTAACAGTGAGACCCTCTCACGTTACTGTGCCTGATAGCAGAGACACTTGAAGTTGGACACAGGGGCTTTGGGGTCCCCAAAAGACCCCTTTATAGGATATCTTTTTTCCCCCAGGGTGGAAATATCTTTATTATTGATTTTTTTTTCTTATGGTAACAGCTCACTGAAAATAATAAAATAAAAACATTAGAAATAAAAAGAAAAGATGTAAAAAAATCACCTCATTTTTTAGATTTTAGACATTTTTTTAAGAGACAGAGAAAGGAAGTAGAATGAGTGAATTGGGTCTACACTATAAATATTCTATCTAATAAGGAGGGAATATGCTAATTGACCATCACAACTTCACAATATGGTGACACCCACAGCCAATAAAGAGGGAATATGCTAATTGCCACACCCTAAAGATGGCAGTGCCCCACAGCCACGAGATGGCGGCAGCCAGTCCCCTCAGCCCTACTGGGGTGGCAGGTGCATGGCAGGGCCCACCCCCAGGTGGGTCCAGCTGCCCTGTGCACTTGCTTCTGGAGTCTCCCAGTCCCCTCAGCCCCATACCTTCCAGGGATGCCTGAGGCTCAGGTAACCAGGGCCAGCTGAGGCTTGTGCTGCCAACAGTGGCAGCAGCAGAGCTGTGATGGGGCATCACCTTCCCCTGATCGCTGAGTTACTTCCCGCCTCTGAGGGCTCCAGGACTGAAACGGGGCAGGCCTGGCTGAGGGATCCCCCCTCCAGGGCATGAATTTTCATGCACCGGGCCTCTAGTACATAATAAATATATGTTTTATACTTAAATATATAGAGAGAATAACTCTTTATGTTATTAGGGCTCTGCATCTCCCACACATAGTTCATTGGGAGGATGTACTATTATTTATTTAAACAAATCTCTACCATTAAATAGATAACTTGTCTTCACAGTTTCATTATTAAAAAATGTGGTGATGAGCACACTCCCACACATATTTGTTCACCTGCAAATGTGCATAGTTTAAATTCTCCGCAGTGTCATGGCTAAGTGAGAGCCAGGCTTGTTTTTAGCTTTTGGTGCATGTTACCAAATTCACCTTCAAGGGCTCACATCCACGTGGATTCTTTCAGGGAGTTTATCTATGCTTAACATGCAAAATCAAGCTACCATGAAGGGCCCTGGGTGCCACCAGCCCCCCATTTTCAAAGGCTTTCCCAGGGCCTGACGGCTGCCTTTGCTCTCACAGGTTTTGGAAAGGGGAGACTCGCCCTGGCGCAGGCGGGGGTCCTGCGGAGCCTGGAGCAGGAGGAGCCCTTCGACCTGTCCCAGAAGCGCCGGGCCTTCCAGTCTGACGGGGACAGCGCCAGGGGCAGCTCTAGCCACGAAGAGGAGGAGGAGGAGGACCACTGCTACGAGGGGGAGCCGGACAGCCTGGGCCCGGCCCCTGCCCCGCAGAGCAGGCAGCTCTGCGCGCCCCAGGATCTCTCCACCAAGCCCGAGACGGCCCCCCGGGCGCCCCTGGAAGCCTGCGAGGAAGAAGAGAAGGAGGAGGAGGAAGAAGAGGAGGAAGAAGAGGAGGCCTTGCAGAAGGAAGAACGCCAGGAGAAGAGCAAGGACAGCCTTGGGGCAGAGGGCGGCCAGGAGAGAGAGGGCGCGGGCAGAGAGGAGGGTCCCAGCCTCCGGGTGCTGCAGGGCGCGCGGCGGGGGGCCTCCTTTTCTGATTACTTGTACTTCAAGCACAGAGAGGAGAGCTTAAAAGAATTACTGGAGAGGAAAATGGAAAAACAAGCAGTGCTTTTAGGTATCTAAGTTGACAGTTTTAGAATTACACTTGGAAAATGAGAAGCAGGCAGTTCACATATAGCTTTCTGCATGAGCTGTCATTTGCTGGCGGCTGGCTCACATCTTCACAGATGGCTCCGACTCTGTGAGCAGGGACGTCCTGAGCCATGGAAATGCTTCTCGGGTCACTCCGGGCCCTTGGTTTTTAACACGCAGGCAGGTCTCCCCAGTGTTATTTCTGCCTCTCCAATGCAAGACGCTGTGCACACACTCCTCTGGGTATCTAACTGCAGGCCGATGCTGAGGTGCTTATAGGAATTCTCCTTTTCTTTGACTAAGATACAATACATGGTCAATTTCTTCCAAGTGGCAAAACTATGGTGCTTGACATGTTTCCTAATGAATGACTGTTTCCTTGAATGTGTGAAAGTTACAATATTTTTCCAGGTGAAAATATGAGAAGTTGTATATATCAACATAAAAGTTACCTTTATTAAAAATATATATATATATGTATATATGCCGGACATGACACAGGAGTTAATGAAAAGGAGTGTTCTCGTCTAGTCGTTGCAGAAATAAGATAACGTTTCAAGAGAAAATGAATAATTGTGACCAAGGAAAGCCCAGCCGTTCTTGGGTTCCTGCCTGGGTCCAGCCACTTCCATTGGGTGCGGGGTTAGGAGCCGGTTTGCAGATGACGCCCAGTGCTGGAGCCCATGTCCCGATTGGAGCTCCCTCCTGGAGGCCTTGCTAAAGCAGCTGAAAGAGGAGTTGCCACCCTGGGAGCAGCTGGCTTCTCCTTGGGGCTAGAGCTGGGGCAGTCGGGGAAGGCTCCTCCCTGAAGTTGAAGGTCTGACTTGTTTGGAGAATTAGAATGGCCAGCAGCCGGTCGCCAGCAGGGGAGAGTCTGGGCTGTGTTCCCAGTGCGCCTGCACATTAGTGTCAGCGCAGGGAGCCTTTCTAACAACACCTCCTGTGGGCCCGCAGCGTCCGAGACCCTGATGGAATTGGCCTGAGTGGAGCCCTGCTTCGCTCATTTTCTAAATGGCCCCATGATTCTTCTGTGCAGCCAGGGTTGAGAAGCACGGACTGGGCTAAAATAGTGACTCCCAGGACCCCCTCCCAGGGACTCCATGAAGATTTCTGTGTCTGGCTTCAGACTCATTCGGAGAGAGAGCAGAAGACCTAGGAATCACACTGCTGACCTGGGCTTTTCACCTGTTCTGGAAGGGACACACACACACACACACACACACACAGTATGAACACATGCTTTCTATATTTCAAGATGATGCCTGAGATGTTTAAGGTCACTTAATATGTTTTTAAAGCACATAGCCAATTTATAGTGACTAATCACGTCTTCCTAGATGCTTGAATCCTGACTCCAGTGAGTGCCGATGATCATAATGGGTGGGCCGAGCCTGCAGGTAGGCTTCCCTTGGGCATGGCACCGAGTAGCGCAGTACTGACAGGACGTCACTTACGTGTGGCTGACCATAAGCAGGAACCCGCTGGTACTGTGTCTGTGTTTATGTAAAAACTGCCTCTAGGTTGGTAGTTTCAACTCTTATTTGTAGAGCTAGGTACTGTTTGTTATTTTGCTTCCTCTCCTCCCAAAGTCCCCGATACATTTCTTTAGAAGATCTGGCCCATCTTTGACTGCTGGGTGCTAGCTTTTTCTCTTGGCCACGGTGCTTCCCCATCAGCCTCATCTCATTCTCATCTTTCTCCCCGGGTGCTTTGTCAATTCCTGATGCCTTTCTCCTGCCACTGTGCCTAAAGCTCCTCCCTTCAGCCTCACTACCGCCCAGTGCCAAAGCTGCTTAAGCTTCCATGCCCTCAGGTCAGAGCCTCTGCAAAGGGATGCTGAAGGTTAGTGTGGCTTCTACAGTTACAAACACAACTGTGTGGCCAAGAACCTGTCCCAAGTCCTCAGAGGGGCAACTTGCCGTCCACTCATTATTAATATGGCTCATTGATGCCCTGCTGAACTCACCCAGGAGGTGGACCATGCGGTCTGTGAGGTCCCCGGCTCTTAGGGTCCTGGTCCATACTTAACTCTTTTAGCAGTTGTGGGTGGAGGAGCTACTCTGAGGGCTGCAGACTTCCAGTTTGTTCTGGGTTTGGCTAGCTGGAACAGGAACCAGGGCATCTAGAATAGCAAGTTCTAGTCTGTTCTAACCAAAATGGATCTCGTGGGAATGTTTGAGGAACAAGGTCATGTTGAGATGGAGAGGGTGAGGTCCAGGAGAGTGGTTTTCACATGGTCTATTGGGGCGCCCCTCCAGGGCTGCAAGGGAGAAGAGAGGCTCTCAGCATGCATGCCCAGGTCACTCAGTGTGGTTCAGATTTCGTCTGTTCTACTCGTTAGACTTCTCAGGAAAATTTAATTTGCAGGGAGAAGGAGGTCCAAGGGAAGTAGTAAAAAGTTGTTATGGAGCATATTCTAAGGCCTGTGTATAGTTCGTAACTCTGAGTAGGAGATATTTAATTAGCTCTATCCCCATGGTTAGTATACACTGACCTTCTGAGAACCAAGGTTAAAATGTTGGTTTTGTATGTTTTTTGAGTGACCAGCATCTGGTTTGCCCAGGACAATCCTGGTTTATACCTGTTGTTCCAGGGTGATTACCAGTAGTGTCACCTAAACTCTGAAAATTATCCCAGTTTGGATAATAAATTACACGGACACCAATGCCTAGGTGCAGAGTTCAGGAGAGAGTTAGCCAACCCTGCCTAATGAGCTAATTAATCAGAATGAAACCATGTAGGAGAGCCTCCGAGTCCATCCTCACAGAACCTCAGGGATGATATCATCCAGGGTAACCAGCACTCCAGGGCCAGGACAGCATGACATTCATCACATTGTGACACTCTGAAAAGAGGCCACTGCCAGATGCTTTCCAGGCTTTTAACCACTATCACTTTGAACCGAAAAACTGACCAGCCCTGTGGCATATTTTTCTTTTCCTTTCCATTCAGGCCTATCACTACCTCCTCTTATGCCTTTCAAATCTTGTACTCTTTCTTTTTTTAAAAAATTTGACTCCCCACTGGCCATGAGACTGAAGCTGACCTTTCATAACCCCGCAAGGATAACTGGTATATTTGCATTTGAGTAGCTACGTGGAGAAAGCTTAAAGTGAATACTGTATTTATTAAGCCCTGAGGCATCTAATAAAATATTAACATCGTGTTTTAAATCGTGATCTTTGTCTGCTTTGCTGGAACAAAATGTAATGGAGCTAACATTTAAAATCCTTCTCATATTTAGACAACATTACGCCAAATGTTGATTTTGTACAAAATTCTGGCTTGCTATTTAAAGATGAAAACTCCAAGTATGTAGTAGCAGCAGGTTGTGAATATTGCTTTCTGCTCAGTGAAAAAGCAGTTTACCTGAAAAGAGCATGTAGCCTATATTTTGTTAACTTAAGCAAATAAAGACATGTTGAAAAAGCTGAGTTAGTTATTTGCAAACACCCACATTTTGCAAGGAAGTTGCCATTGTCAATGTCTCAGTCCCATCCTATACCCTCTGCCTGGCCCAGGGAAGGGGTGTGTGTGTGTGTGTGTGTGTGTGTGTGTGTGTGTCCTCATTGGCTGGAACCTCAGCCCAGGGATACAGATGCTGGATTCTCCCTCCCTCCTTCAGAAAGGATTAATGACTTGGGCCCATCTGCTGGCTGGTGACATCTTCCTATCTTTTCCACCTTTCCTATTAAAACAAACAAACAAAACAAAAAACAAAACAAAACAAAAAACTAGTTCTGGAAGGGTGTCATGGAAAAGTGGGAGTTAGAAACTGTACTGCCCATTCTGCATCAGGTTCTTTGTAGAATAAAGTTCAACCAAGAGGAAGTGTATTTTAGTGGACAAGAGCACAGCTTCTGGTGCCAGATACCTGGGTTCAAAGCCCAGCTCTCCCACTTTCAATCTTTAGGAACTGACACCAATTTGTGAACTGCTCTGTGCCTGTTTCTTCATCTGTAAAATGAGACTAAAAAAAAAAACACTACCTTTCTCACCAGGCTGTTATGCAGGTTAATATATCTGAGTCACTTATGTGTCTGGCTCACAGTTCATCCTATATAATATTATTAGTAGGTTATCATCAGCAAAGTGGCCAGGAAGCAGAACACTCTGTTCTCCTCATCAGAGAACTCACCACGCAGTGTGGGCAGGGGAAACTGTTGCTTTCTATGGGAGCTCCCCTTTTAAACACTACAACTGTTACATGCCAACCACTGTGCCAGGCATTTACACACTCGATCTCACTTAAGCCTCACACAACTCTGAGAAGCAAACATTGTTATCTCCATTTCATGGATGCAGAAGTGGAGGTTCAGGAGAGTAAAAGAGCTTGCTTCAAATTATCTAGCTGGTAAGTTCCTCCTTTGCCTGCAAAGTATTTAGGGTGTGGCAAGTTGAAGTTTCTGAAGTATTGTAGATGCTGAGACAAATGTGAGTGCAAAGTGCTAATTAGGAATTGGCATTAGTTAAAAGAAGGGGGAAGAAAGAAGACTGAGCAAAGAGAGAAGCCAAACAGTGAGGTAGGCACAACCAAGCCCCAGCAGGCAGCTCTGGGGAAGGACTGCCCATCAGGCCTTCCACCCCCACCAGAAGGGCATGACCTCAGGCAGGTGTGACTCTTCAGCTGGGGCCAGCTCTCCAGGAGCCGGTGGCTGTGTGCTGATTGCAGTCCCTCACAGGTCAGTGTGAGTCCTTCCTTGAAGAGAGACCAGTGACTCATCTCTGTGTCTAGTACAGTCCACCCCTTGTACCACGCCCATCCATGTCATGTACACACATGGAGCGTCTCCTCCAGGGTTCCAGAAGGTCTCTCTTCCTGAGGGAAAACTCAGCACACCAGAGTTAGCGGGACCAACTTCAGCCCCACTACGGCAATCAGAATAACAGACAGATGGATACTCATTGTCTCCTTCCTCCTTACCTGTGTTGATACCTCTCACCTTTCCAGGTGGTATGACCAGATCCTCATCACCAAGGGGTCTGAGCCTTGATCATCACGCTGCTATGGACTCGATGTTTGTGTCCCCCAGGATTAGGAGTTGAAGCCCTAACCCCTAGTATGACAGTATTTACAGGTGGGGCCTTTGGGAGGTAATTAGGTTTAGATGGAATCATGAGGGTAAGGCTCTCATAATGGGATCAAAGTCCTTATAGGAAAAGAGAGATACCCGACCCCCCCTTCCTCTCTCCACCATGTGAGGACACAAGAAGGCAGCCACCTGAAAACAGGAAGCAGGTCCTAGAAGGACATAGAAGCTGCTGGTACCTTAATCTTGGACTTCCCAGCCTCCAGAACTAAACGTTTGCTGTTTGAGACATAACTGTGTGCCGTTTTAGCTACCCGGTCTTGGTATTTGGTTATAGCAGCCTGAGCAGACACAGGGCCTTGTCGGAACGGGGTTGTTCTTCCTGTTCGCCTACAGTCACAAGTGAGGAAAGAAGGACCAAAAGGAACCCAAGTGAGTGACCTGGGTTCTCACATATCCCTCCCTGGCCCACTGTAACAACAGCCCTACCCCTTCCTCATGATCAGCTGAACAGCAGGAGGGAGAGAGTGATGTAGGTGAGGCTGGCATGGAGAGTCACTAAGCAAGAGGGTGACATAGATTGACATTTTCTAAAGCTCGTTCTGTCTGTAGTGTAGAGGATAGATTGGAAGGAAGCCAGGATGATGCTGGGGGACCATTATCTCTAAGTCTTTGAGGGATAATATTGGCCTGGAGTAAGGAGGTAGCATAGAAGAAGTTAGAAGTGGACAGTTTAAAGTGTGTTTGGGAGGTCCAATTGACTTGTTCTACCAAAGGCAAATTTTAATAAGAAGATAAGTGGATATTTTTCTACAAAAAGAAAATGACAATATAAGGTTCATCTCCTCATATGACAGAAAGGATGAGTCAGAATTTTATAGCTATCATAAAAGCCACAGTCTTCACTCAGTTGTCAGGGGAGCATATTTACCAAGGACAGAATATAAACATCATTCAGTCCAACTGGTGTCCCTCAGTTTTATCCTGGGGCACAACTGGTAAGGAAGTAAACAGTTGAGACTGAAGAGGACACGAGTCCTCAGAAATAAATGGCAGAAGTGAAGACAAGGGGGCACAGCATTAGAGACCAGAAAACTATGGAAAGAGGCTAGACCTCGGAGACCTAGGTTACGCTGCAGAGCCCTTGTCATCCCTAAGGTCCAGCCAGTGAACTGATACATGTTCCTGATAATAAACTTGCATGGTCCAAGGACAGTTCATCTCAACCATATTTATTAACTAAATATATTTCCACTCTAAACCGTTCAGTGCTCAGAGGGTGGCAGTCCAGTGATCTGGAAAATTCTACCCAGTGCACACATTATTTTGTAACGAGGCAGAATAAATGAGATGTTGTCATGTTTTAAGTCCTAAAGTGAATTGGCCCATGGCACTACAAACAGCATCTAAAAAAGAAATAAAAACACAAAATGTGTGGAAGGAGTTTGTTCCTGCCCGTAAGGAACACACAGTTCTTAGCAGGCCCAGGGCAGCTGGCAGGAACATGGCTAATGATTTTTCAAATCTCCTCTCTCCAAAGCTCCAAAGCCTTAGAGCTAAAAACTGTCCTCGCTGTGAAAGCCCAGGTGTGAAGCATTTCATTTCTTTTCTTTTTTTTTTGCACAGCAGAGCTGAGCCAAGAGTAACTTCCAGTCCCGTCACACACTTGCTCGACAAGTGGAGGAAGACATGCTCATTTGATAGCTGGGGAGTGACCCTCATAGGGTCCCTGGGGACCCAGTATCAGTGGCGCTCACTGCTTCCTCTTCCCTGGATGCAACAATATATTAAGAGACAGAAAAAAAGGAGGTTGGCTCTTTTCATGATTTTCCTTTTTAATTTTTGTTGAAAATGGACTGTGTTCTCTTGAGCCTTCAAACAAATGGAGGGGAAGTGGAAGCCCAGAAGTTTCTCTTAGGTTCCCTGGAGAGGGGGGTCTGTGTTTGTAGTGCAATGTGGGAAAAGTCCTTGTGTATCTGCTGCATTGTCACGTCTTACCAGAGTGATTTGCAGCAGGAAGTGTGGGATGAATACAATTTCTACGTAAGAGAAAGTGATGGAGCCCCAGCCAGCCTTTGAATCAAAGATCTCCTCTTGCCCTTCATCTGCTAGATGTGCTTCCCCTGACCTCCACCTCCCCATCTTTATTAAAGGATGAAAAAAAAAAAAAAAAGAGCAAGAACTCTCTCTGAACTTGACCCAAACAAAAAGTCCAGCCAGAAAACCTTGCTATTCAGAATGCACTTTCACAGGGAGGGGGAGAAGGGGGTGTTTGGAAGGACATGCCAGAGATCACAGAGGCAATAGGAGGGTGGCTGCGGAAGCTCTTGCCATCACACCTGAAGAACCATTTCAAACCAATCACGAGGGTCGTGTTAAGGTTCCCACAATGCAGGGTGAGTCTTTTCACAGGGCAGATCTTAAAAAAAAAAAAAATGGTCTCAGAAGAAGAATGGAGAGATAGAGAATTAAGAGACATCTAAAAGGATTACAAGGATACTTCTTTCATTTTAGCAATTCATCATATTAAGATGCTGAAAAATACTTTTATTTCTTCCAGGAAGTAGTAATAATGAAACTGGTCTCCAAGCTGTGTAGGATGAGGAGATGGATGGGGTAAAATCTATTACTCATTCTGGACTTGCAGAGACTGTGCTATTTGACATTGTTGAAGGACAGCTTCCCTTCCAACCTGCAGCCAGTCTAGCAAAGAGAATAGTTTTACTTGGAGTGGCAGGTTATCCAAGTCAGGAAAGTATTTAAAATCCTGAACTATGGCTTTGCAAGACTATACACATGGAGCATCGAGTCAACTGCCTCTTCGCCAATGGAAAATAAAAGAAATATGAAATCCCCAGCAATAACAAAGACTTTACAGGGAGAAAAAGCAAAAAATCAAAGCAAGGTGATGCAGAGCCTTATAAACAGATAATTACAATGCCAGCATCCCAGCGGACATTGAATAAACAGT